GAAAAAAACTATTAAACAGATTCAATAAAGTTGCAGGATAAAAAGTACATAAAAATATGTTCCATTTTTATATACTAATAATGAACAGGAAAATAAATTTAAAAAATAATATTTAAAACTGCATCAAAAAAAAAAAAAACACAAAAAACACTTAAAGATAAATTTAACCAAGGAGGTGAAAGCCTATATAATGAAAACTGTAGGACACTAAGGAAAGAAACGGAAGACAACACAAGTAAATCGACATTCCATGCTCATGGATTAGAAGAATTAAGTGTTAAAATGTCTACACTATCCAAAACCGTCTAGAGATTGAATGCAATTCTTACCAAAATTCGAAACACGTTTTAAAGACATAAGGCAAAGAATCTTTAAAATTTGTATGGAGGGGCGCCTGGGTGGCTCAGTTGGTTAAGCGACTGCCTTCGGCTTAGGTCATGATCCCAGAGTCCCGGGATCGAGTCCCACGTCAGGCTCCCTGCTCAGCAGGGAGTCTGCTTCTCCCTCTGACCCTCCCCCGTCTCATGCTCTCTATCTCATTCTCTCTCTCAAATAAATAAATAAATGAATCCTTAAAAAAAAAAAAAAGATTAGTATCCAGTACATATAAAGCACTCCTACACTCAATAACTACAGCAAAAAAACAAAGTGGTTAAAAAGTGGGAGGATTATCCAAATGGACATTATCCAGAGAAGACATCCAGAGATCCAACAGGCACGTGAAAAGATGCTCAACATCATGAATCATCAGGGAAATGCAAATCAAAACAACAATGGGATAGCACCTCACACTGGTTAGAAAACTTAGTATCAAAAAGATGAGAAATAACACATGTTAGCAAGGATGTGGCCGAAAGGGAACCCCAGTGAGCTGTTGGTGGGAACGTAGGTAGGTGCATCCACTGTGGAAAAGAGTATGCAGGCTCCTCAAAACATTAAAACTAGAACGAGCCTACAATCCAGCAATTTTTCTCCTGGCCATTTAGCCAAGGAAAACAAAAACACCCATTTGAAAAGATACCTGAACCCCCATGTTCACTGCAGTATTATTCATAACAGCTAAGATAGGAGAACAACCTACATGTCCACGGAGGGATGAATCGATAAGGAAGATGTGGTGTATGTAGACACTGCAATACTCTTTAGCCGTAACAAAAAACGAAATCGTTCTTTTTACAACAACATGGATGGACCCTGAGGGCACAATGCTAACTGAAAGAAGTCAGAGACCAATACTCTATGACAACACTTTTATATGGAATCTAAAAACACCAAAAAACTGAGCTTAAAGATACAGCAGTCAGATTGGTGGTTGACAGGCACGGGGATGGGTGTGGAATGGGTGACAGGGGTCAAAGGTTCAAACTTACAGGTATAAAGTCAGTCAGTCACAGGATGTAACGTACAACATGGCGGCTATAGTTAATAACACTGTATTACAAGCTTCGAAGTTGTAAAGAGAGTGATCTTACAAGTTATCCTAAGGAAAAGGTCTTGTAAAACACTCCAAGACAAAACTGGATTTAAACAGGTAAGCCGTACACCATTGTTCAGGGGACTCAGAAAGTGCAGGGACCTGCCCAAATCTGTGCGGGAAACTGCCCTCCTGTTCCTCACAGAGGCTAAAGGAGAGCTTTGTACACTGGTGAGTGGGTGCACAGAACAGCATGTAAAGTGCTGGGCTCCTCTCTACCCAGAGCACTGGGCACTGCATCCCGCTTAGGGGTACAGGAAGAAGCAGGGAGTTCCTGGGAGATACTGAAAAAGTTGAGGAAGAACAAGGCAGGGTGGATGGAAAGTGCCTTACCGGTTTTCCAAATCCCTGGGCATGTTCCATCGTGTCGGTGTCTTTTGAGATGCTACCAAAGGTCGCCGCTGCGGTCTACTCAGGCTCTTGCGGCTGGGCAGCCAACTTCTTTAACTCACTGGCAACCTCTGAGTCATCACTGTCTCTTGACCGTCATTCTAGGGGGAGAGGAGCACATAAAATGGGTCTCATTTCTCTCAGTTGGGATGGTCTGTCAGCTCTTGATCTGAATCACTAACCACCGCCGTTACATCTGTGCCCATAAAGCACTGCGAGGGAATAAAGACTACGACAGTAACAGAAATAGAGAATACTTATTCCTCCGTATTCCTCTGTGTTAGGCCCTATTCTAAGCTGTAAGGTGCAGAGTCAAGCAGAGAGGCATGAGGGTTTCGGATACACCCCAATCATGGAGAGGTTGGAGGCACAGGTTTTGGAGCTGCAAAGACAAGGGCTTGAAATCTGGTTCCAAGCATTACCTGCGTCTCTAAGACTCAGAGGCCTATCAGGATCCTAGCCCATGGAGATGTGCAAACTGATAAAGGGTGTAGAATGCTTAGCTAGTGCCAGGCACAGAGCAGCTCCTCAATTAACTCACGATGATAATCATGAGGATGGCAATCAAGGTGTTCCTTCCCCGGTGCTAGCAATAACAATAACTAATACTTCTGTGATATTAATCCCAAAGACTCGTACTGGACTTATCTCGTGCCAGGAACCATGATTTACATTGACTTTGGAAATGGGTTCTGTGTACTACTTCACTAAATCCCCAAAACAAGCCTATATAGGTCCTCTTTGCAGGCCCATCTCTCAGATGAGAATTCTGAGGCCTGGCGATTACCTATCTTGCTCAAGGACACACAGCTGGAAGTGGAATAAGAGGAATGACAACCTGTACTCTGAACCAGTCTAGAGGAAACCCATTACCTACGTTAAATCTGCACCATAACCCTAAGGTTTGGCTGTTCTGCCCACTTTACAGATGGAGAGACTGAAGCTCAGGCCCAGGGCAGAGGCCGAACTCACCTGGCCTCCCCAATGGGAGGAAGCAGGACTTGGCACTTCGCCTCAGGCTTGGCCACTGGGTCTGGGTGGCCCCCTGTGTCCCCTGCAGATACCAGGCTGAGGGGCACCTCTTCCTCGGAACCGCAGCATGCTAGGGTTCCAAGGACGCCGCTGCCCCCGGCTCCCTCTGCTCCCAGCCATACCGCCACTGCCCCCAGCTACCGCCACTGCCCCCAGCTACCGCCACTGACACCCGCTGCCCAGCACAGACGATGCTTCTGACCGCCGACGCGGCTGGCCCACGCTGCCGCCCTCTGCCGCCTGCTGCTTGCTGGCACTGACTGCTCAGCGCTGACCCTGCCCCTACCGCCACCGGGCCGCTGCCCCCGCCAGTTGCTGCCAGTTATCGCTGCCTACCGCCCCAGCCACCTAGCTGCCGCTGCCGCCTGCCACCCTTGCCTGCATCCCCTTGCCTCCGCCTGCCTGCCCCCGTCCCCTGCCGCTGCCGCCGCCTGCTACCTCCTTCCACTGCCCGCCGCCCTTGCCTGCCTGCCGCGGCCGCCTGCCTGCGTGCCGTTGCTTACCACAGCCTGCCACCGCTTCCTGCCGCCGCCTGCAATCGCCTACCGCCGGCGCCTGTCTGCCAACCCTGCCTGCCACCGCCCACCACACTTGCCTGCCGCTACCTGCCTCCCTGCCCCCACCGCTTACTGCCGCACCCTGCCTCCACTGCCTCCACCGCCCCCCGCTGCCACATACTGACCCCACTAACCCGACACCTACCGCTGCCGCCGCCCGCTGCTGATACTCCCACTGCTGCCTCTGCTGCCCGGAGCTTCCTCTGCTGCCCAACGCGGAAGCTGACTGGCGCCAACAATACCGCTGACGCCGCTGACGCCGCTGACGCCGCTGACGCCGCTGCGTAACCCGACTATGCCCGCCGGCGCTTCCGGCGCCCCTCCCCACGCTGACACACGCTGCCGCCGCTGACCCGCCTGCTGCTGACCCCGCCCCTATCGCGGCGCATGCTTCCCCCGCCGGTGACTCCGGCTGAACCCAATGGCACCTGCTGTTGAGGCTGCCACACACCGCCACCCGATGACCCGGGGCTGCCCAAAGCTGGCGCCCCTGCAGCCCTTGCCGCCCCTGCAGCCGCTGCAGCCGCAGACGCCCCCCGCTGGTGCTGTCACCGCTGCAACCTCTGCTGCTGCCCGCTGCCGCCTGCCACCGACTGCCACCGCCTGCCTGCCGCTGCCTGCAGCCACTGCCCACCAATGCTGCCACCGCCGCCTGCCACTGCCTGCCTGCTGCCGCCACCAGTCAGTACTACCACTGCCGTCTGCCACTGCCGCCCCCTGCTGCCGCTTACCTCTGCCTGCCGCCGCCACCTGCCTTCTGCCACCCAACGCCCTTGCCTGCGCCTGCAGCCTGCTGCCCACCGGCATCCGTGACCGCCTGCCTGCCGCCGCCGTCTGCTGCCGCAGCCTGGCTCCACCGGGCCCAGCTACCTAACCCCGAGAATGCATGCCAACGCTGCCTGCCTACCCCCACCGCTGCCGGCACCGCCGGCCTACCGCTGCCACCTCCCTAATGCTGCTCTCTGCCACCTGCCTGCCCCCGCCGCCTGCCTGCTGCCGCCGCCTGCTATATCCTTGCACCACCCGCGGCCCTTACCTGCCGTGGCCTGCCTGCCAGCCACTGCTTACTGTAGCCTGAACTTGCTACCTTTTACCTGCCGCCACTGCCTGCCTACCGCTGGCGCCTTCAGCCCGCTGCCCCCACTGCCTGCCTCCGCTGCAGCCTGCCTCCTCCTGCCACCTTCCCGCGCCACCTGCCTCCGCTGTCTGCCACCGCTTCCTGCCACTGCCGCCTGACACCGCTGCCGGTTGCCCGCCACGGCCCGCTGCCGGTTGCCCGCCACGGCCCGCTGCCGGTTGCCCGCCACGGCCCGCTGCCGCTTCCTTACCACCGCCGCCTGCTGCCGCTTACCACTGCCCGCCACCGCAGTCCGCCACCAACGCATGCCTACTACTGCCGCCTCCCAACAGTTGCAATTCCCGCCTTCCTAACACTGCTGCCTGCGGCCACCACCTGTCCCCGCCAACCGCCTGCCACTGCTTCCTCCCACCACCGCCTGTTGCCATCTGCGGCTACTGCCACCAGCCTCCGCTGCCTAACCTCGACGATGGTTGCCAACGTTCTCCAAGTATGATTTCTCCCCCTCTAGGCACATCATCAATTTTTTTTCCTGCTTCCTTAAGGCTCTACTTGACTACTTAAGAATTTCCAGCCAATAATGTCTAAGCATAAACAATATAGTCATCACTGCAGGATAACTAGATCTACCCTATCTGAGTGCCAGATATCTTGTTAAGCATTTTACATTTATTAACTCATTAATTCTCACAATAACCCTATGAGGTAGATAGTTTATTATCTCCCCTTTACAGATGAGGAAACTGAGGCCTAGAGTAGTTAAGTAGTTTTCCCATGGTCAAAATCCACCAAGTGGCAGAGCTTAGATTTGAACCCATGGAGTCAGGCCTCAGCACCTATGCTCTCAATCACACAAATGATGAGAAAGCCTTTAGTTTGTGCAAGGAAGCAAAGCGAAGTCATCTGTTTGGGGAGAAACATATTTATATATGACAGTCAACCCAGGGGTCCATGGGGTCCTCTTATCATAGAGTTATCAGGGACTGTACTAAAGTCTTATTTTATGAATGGAACTGTACTAGTCAGTGTTTCTCTCTCTCTCTGAGAAAGAAAAGAAAGAAAGAAAGAAAGAAAGAAAGAAAGAAAGAAAGAAACAAAGAAACAAAGAAAGAAAGAAAGAAAGAAAGAAGAAAGAAAGAAGAAAGAAGGAAAGAAAGAAAGAAGAAAGAAAGAAAGAAGAAAGAAAGAAAAAGAAAGAAAGAAAGAAGAAAAAAGAAAGAGAAAGAGAGAAAGAAAAAGAAAGAATGAAAGAAAAGAAATTGAGGAAGAAAAAAAAAGAGAGAGAGAAAGGTCTATTAGAAGGAATTGCCTCACCCAGTTATGGAGGCTGACAAGTCTAAAACTGCAGTGTGCAGACACAGGAGAGACAATCATGCAGATGAAGTCCAAAAGCAGCCTTCTGTGGAATTTTCTCTTACTCAGAAAAGCTGCTCTTTCTGTTCTAGTCAGGCCCTCAACGGTTTGGATAAGGCCCACCCACATTATGGACGTCAGTCTGCTTCAGCCTAAGTTCATCAATTTAAATGTTAGTCTCATACAAAAGAGCCTTCTAAGCTGACACATAAAATGGACCATCACAGGAATATAGGACCTAGAGGGGTTGAGTCAATAGTCCAAGTTTACATGACAAAGCCAACATCAGAGCTCAGACCTTCTGGTTCCCCAGGCAGTATGATCCTAACACACACTGTCTCCCTGTGAAACCGTGAGACCCATGTGCCACACTTGAGGAAAGAGGTAAGGAGGGAGTGAAGGTGCCCTGTTTAGCTCTGCTGTCTAATGGCAAGAACACAAAGGAGCTTTAATTCCTTCTTATCAATTCTTTTGTAGTTGATGCATCAAATGGAAGTTTTGATAAATAGCCATGGTCTGTTATTTACTGCTTCGAGAAATGGAAACAGAGGAACCACAAAATGTGGCTTAAAATTAGGTAAGGCATATGACTTTTTCCAAGCTGTAGCATTTTTGTTTAGGAGAACTGATGTTTGACCCCCTCAACTAAGAAAGACCGGATCCAGCCCACAATAAGGAGTAGGAGACAGACTGCATTTGAGCTCATCTGAAAATTGCATTTTAATCGCTTCTTTTATCTTAGACTCTCCTGACTTCTTAATTCTTATCTAAATGATATTTCTTGTCCCCCTGCCACATGCCACACTTTATGACATTACCAAAGCAGGTGTCAAACATTGTGCTTGGTGTAACATTGACCAACAACTCAGATGCTCAGAAACATATCATCTCGCTCAAGGTTAAAGGCATTGTTCCCTCTCCTATACATGCAAGATATGTGTATGGACATGAGCTGGATAAACCTCAAAGCATAGACTGTTTGTATAGACATGATGCAACCAGGAAGTCTGAGAACTGAAAGTTTCAAGAGGTTTATCCAAAGTCAACCAATTTTTCCTTAAGATCCCCATTGCCAGATTATTTGCATGCCAATAACTACTAAATGGTGTGCTTTCTGGGTACAAAACACTGCTGAGCACTTTCCAAGTATTGATTCCTTTCTCTCATACATCCCTGAGGTCGTTACGATTGTGCCCAGTTTATACATGGGGCAACTGAGATGCAAAGAGATTAAGTGACTAGCTCAGTGTCACCCCAACTAGCAAATGTTGGAGACAGAAACCTATCCTCTCATCATCTAGACTGGGGGTTAGCAAACATTCCCTGTGAAGGGCCAGATAGTAAATATTTCAGGCTTTGGGGACCACACATTCTCTATTGCAACTTCTCAGCTCTGCTATTATAACAAGAAAGCCACAGAAAACACGTGAATGAATGAGCATGGATGTGTTCCAGTAAGTGTTTTATGGACACTTGTCAGTCACACAAAACCAGCAGCTGCCTGGATCTGGCCCATGGGCGATGGTTTGCCAAACCTTCATCGAGACCATCACAGGTTCTGACTTGACAAAGAACTGCAGAATGAATCTAGGAATTCGGAGTGAAACGTGTCATTTCTCAAACCATGAGAGACTATGGACTCTGAAAAACAAACTGAGGGTTCTAGAGGGGAGGGGGGTGGGGGAATGGGTTAGCCTGGTGATGGGTATTAAAGAGGGCACGTTCTGCATGGAGCACTGGGTGTTATACACAAGCAATGAATCATGGAACACTACTTCAAAAACTACTGATGTTATGTATGGTGATTAGAATAACATAATAATAAAAAAAAAAGAAACATGTCATTTCTACCAGCCAATCATAAAGCTGTAATTATCAAGTAAAATATTGGAAAGAAAGACCTTATCTCCACTTAAAAATGGATTTAAGTACCAGAGAACAGGCAGCTGAGATGTTCGGGTGTGTGTGTGGAGCAAGGTGAGTTTGACTTTGGGCCTAAAGTTCTACTCACAGATGTCTGTGCTGGGAAGAGAAAGCAGAGGGGTTGGGTGGGAAATGGCAGCACCATTCAGAAGGCAAGTGCAAGATAATGCCCTCTGGTTTTTCTCTTTCTTCCTCAGTTCTAGCAAGACTAATACAAGAATGTCCCCTTGCCTTCCCCATAGTGACTAAAGTAAATGAGACATTGAAGAAGTTCAAGAGGCATCGGATGGAGGTGCCTATGTGTAGGCAGAGGCCAGCTCTACTTTCTGGGCAAAGGAGTCCAGTCAGTCTTTGGGTTTTAAAGCCCTGGGCTCCCAGGGAGCAGTTGGGGTGCCACCATAGGAGAGAGGGGTAACAGGAAACTTATTATCCCAGTGGGTTAAGTACTAAAGGCTGAAACCCTCTGGGTCAAATCATGGTGTCCCATTAGCAGAGCTTAGCTCTGAGGCACATCATCCACCCTGGAAGATACACAATGGTGTGGTCAGTGGTTGCCCCGCAGAGACTTCCAGGTGGATGGAACCAGCGGTGAACCCAAGCCATGTGACTGCTAGCACCAATCCAAGCCCAGCTTCGTGGGTGGGGTTTGATTAAGTTTGGCCCATTTGGATCAGGTCAACCCCACCAGGTTCCTGAGCAATTTGCAGAGGAGAGAGCCTCAAGAGGGAGATGCTGGACTTTCAGACAAGATGGCCCTTTGAAGGGCGAATCCATTTTTAGTTAGGAAAGAAAATGAATAGATGGGAAGTGTTTGCACCCAAGCTCTGGGAAGCCTTCACTGGGTTATCTGAGGACTAAGTGAGATCCTGTATTTGGAGACTTCCTCATGTGGCCTGATGTGCCCCGGGGTATAAAAACTGTTCACCTCCATGCTCCCCACTTGGACATTCTCTACCCGTTAAGGAAGAGAGAACCCCATACAGGCTCTGCAGATTGACTCCTTGAGTCTCTGGGTTTTGAGACTGGCCCTCACTTACTGGGCCCCCTACAGGGGCAGACCTACGCTGCCAGTTGGCAAGTCTATCTTCTCTTTGCCTTCTGCCTTCAGTGCTAGCCCTTAGCACCCCTTCTTGGAACACCGAACTCCTCCCCTCTGCACCCAGACATCTCCGTGCCCTTACATCCTCGAGCCCCAGGACTCCCAGATTCCCAGCTGGGATAAGAGGGCAGCTGAAAGTCCAGCTGAGGGACTAGTTACCCAAAAGCAGGTGGACAGGGTGGGGCACCGGTGGAGTGAGACCCTGGACGTGGGGCCCGAGGGACTGCACCTGGTGCCGTGTGCAGTGGGGGAAAGGTAGCACCCTGTTCTGCGGGCACTGCCCTCTCTGTTCTTGTTGACTATCTGGAGGGCTGGGGAGAAGGGGCTGGTCTAAGGTCTTTCTCATCATTCTGGTTATCAACAGTAGGAAACTTAGCAACATGAGTAGAGGAAATCAAAAGTAATATGCATTTGAAACTTTTTGAAATTGCTTATCATCTCTGCCTCATTACCAAGAAGCATAATCATGATTACTGACAGCCACTAAGTGTCTCAATTGCTTCTTTTCCCAGTGTCCTGTATTCCCAAATCACCATCTCAAGACTTGCGGTTGCAGCTCTGATGAACGGGGCCGTCTCTACAAGCTGCACACGCACTTTTGCATTATCTCTAGATGACCGTTCTTGAAGGACCTACTGTCTTCTCTTAAGGAAGGACAGGACACTGCTCCCAAGACGTGACTCTGCAGACCAGGAAGCAGCTCCTGGATCTCTTGTCAGCCTGGATCTTCCAGGTCACCGTCTTAGCATTTCTTTGTATTCTGACGCTCTGACTCCTGGGGCCTTGCCAACCTGGAGACACTGTCCCTCACAGGGCTGGCCAATTCCTAGAGATAGTAGGTGATTCACCTGCAAGCACACTTTCCATATGTAAGCCAACCAATACAGAGCCCATTCCCAACCACCTCTTTGACTGGGCTCTCACACTCTGGGCCAATATCCCCTTACACAGATGCCCCTGGGGTCAAGAACCAGACAACTAGAGACAGCCCCTACACCCCAGAGCCCACCAAAATTATTCAAGCCAGCCAATCCTATGCCTGCTTATTCTGCTTCACCTGTTCCTTCCCATGGAAACCACAATAAGGCTCTTGCCCACATCCTTGTCTGACGTTC